GACAGCACAACCCAACGGAAACCGAAACCGATACTAAAACAGAGCACAACCAGGAACCTGTTCAAATGTTACGACTGCATTGTTTATCAAGAGGCTTTGAAGTGCAACCCATTCGTACATGTTGTTAGAATAACTTTTTCTTATTTACACCATATTACTATTATGTTCCAGGGGTTCTGACAATACCAGCAGCTGATGAATGAGTGATCGATTTTTCTCTGTGTGGCAGCACTGTACAGTCAGTGCTGACATTGTGAAGATTCACGAATTGAGGGGTTTTTCACGGATTTTTCGGTGAGTTTGACGGTTTGGCAGGTTTTTTTCAGCTACGAACACTCTCCGGGTATAAGAGAGGACCCTGTGAAAATTGCATCCAGATCGCTTGGGCGGTTTGGCCGCCTATAGGGAAGATACATACATACGAACTCAAATATATATTAGATAATGAATAAATATATCTGGAATATATGTAGTTATGAGTCATGCTGTGAAAGCACATGAAATTCCATTGTCCCAGTTGATAAAATAGAAAAGTGAATGTCAGAGTAACTGTTCCCGAGGTATAATTATAGCAAATGCATACAAGCATGTTAAATTTGAAACAGAGATTTTGCTGAACAAAAGTATACTAAATTTGATACACGAAACCAATTATTACGATAAAACGAAATTCACATCCATTTTTGAATAATGCTATCTGTACATTAGTAGTATTCAGATATGATAAAAATTAGCTCTTTTTATTACACATCAAATAATTATATTTATTCATGACATTGAGGGTCGAGCAAAAAACTGTTAGAAGAAGAATGTGTTATAGTAAACCCGACGTGTACTCATTTCGGAGTGTGGCAATGACGATGCATATTAGCCCCAATCGTGGTAATATAAAATAATATAATGTCTAGTTCTATGAATTACATACAAATAGACTAACATAAATAATGTTTTGCGTACATTACATATTCGCGATTATTTCATTGAATGACATAGATAACATTGCAATGCTGATAAAGCTATAACCACTATTAGCGTAAACACTATAGTTTAGTAGAACGTTTCCGCATTGATTCAGATAGAAATATTAGATTTACCGTTTTCAGACAATCTGTGAGAGAGACATTTTAATAATATGAAAATGGGAGCTGACTATTATTGTTTACTTTCTCGTTAAACGTTAGTTGGAACAGTCGCAGACCTCGCTCATGTTATAGAATGGGCATTACTTCTTTAAACATATTTGGCGTGATGAAGGGTCGGGTAATCCATCCGGCTCAATAGCCAACGTGAATGCGAAGCTGATATTAATCCGATGCATTCCGCCCCAGCGCAAATGGAATTTCAAAACAACCGTAGGCTAGCGGGGTTTCGCAAAGTTCCCCAACGTCATTTAGATTCATGATACACGATCCATTGACTTTAAATTAGCTACGGTTCAAGAATCCCGTCTCGACAAGCTTGTCAAGGAAGAACTTAACGTCGCCGATAGCCGACGCCTGAATTCCCATCTCGAGCAAGAGTTTCGTATTTCCATTCTCCACGGCCAGCATCACCTCGCGCAGGTGCTGTATGTCAGAGGTCAGGAGGTGCATCACGTGACCAAAGTCCTCGGCAGTTTTGCTTTCTAGAAACAAGAGCGACAGCATGATAATGTCTCGCGTGTTTTTTTCGCTTGAAAAAAAATGCGACAACCGTTTGAAGCAAAATGCGTTGTAGTATTAGCAATGGGAGCTATGTTAATTAGCTGTAGAAGCTGATTAGCGATGAAACGCAGTCGCAATCACCATGAGGATGTCCTGTGAGACCGAATGCAAATTTCATTTGTTATTGCATAGTAATGAAATAGGGAGATAAATCCTCTGAGCAACATTATGTCTGCTTATTGTTACATGAAATAGTAAACGTGCTTGAATTTAACGTTTTTGAAACTACTTCCTTTTATGCTTGAACTCTCCAGGCATATATATATATATATATATATATATATATATATATATAAAAAATAAAAAAAAAAAAATAATATATATATATATATATATATATATATACATATATATATATAATATATGCCTACCGCAATTAAGATAGATAATTTTAATAAGATTTGATGTATTTATTGCGACAATATTTTAGGTAGTATTGTAGACGTTATGCTCACCTGACAGTGCTACGGCCACCTTTTCGACTCCGCCATGTGCCTCCAACGCAACCTCTGCCTTCTCCCCGAACAGCTTTGTAAGGAACTCGATGCCATTTTGCTGAACCAAATGTCTGAGGAAATCCACAATTTCGTCCACTGGAGGGCGCAGCGCTGTAAATGGAGATCGTACTTTTATTATGATAAGAATCATAGCAGGCTAATAACCAACCACCAGGCCATAACTACAGCTAACGTATGGACCCAGTTATATAATAAACTCTCTGATATCTTGCACATGTATAGACGGCACGAGATCAATCTCATGCTTTGCGAGTAAATACGTACTTTCGATATAATATCTGCTCTCGTAACGTGTAATTATAGCATATATATATACGCAACGCAAGGAATGCAAAGCCGAAGAACTGACCGCGGGCAGAACAAACATGAACAATAAGCAAATTTCTGATAACACTGTTGAAACGCAGCGCTGTAATTTTAAGATTTGTGTCGTAATTGAGTTTCCATATTTGCTGTTAGATTTAGCAGCGGAGACCAACCGCACCCCATATGGAAATCAGTTGCCGACGGGCTTGGCTACCAAAGGAGCAGCTATGGCTATCGGGTATGGCAAGGAGCTCTCTAGGTCAGTTTCATTACCACGACAGTATTCCCCTGACGAAATTTGTAATAGACGTCATGATTTATTATTCCTTTGAAGCAATATTCGTATGAAACTGCCCTGTCCAAATTGGCGAGAAGTAACTAACGGCCGGTTTCGTATTGGCTGGTAGTGTGCGCCGTGCCGGCAACCACACCAGCAGTAGCACGAAATCACGTTTGTGAGGTTCGAGTGTACATTCTTCCCGTATAAATAAATTATTGTGAATAAAGCCCCTCAGAAATTATTTCCGTTAGGGCGCAACAGTTGACCCCGACTCATAAATTTTAATGACTTTCTCGGATAATTAGCATTGTATATTATCACTTAGAGATTGATGATGCGGATATATTACGATGTTCTAGCTGGATAACAAAGGTGGTATGTATATGAGGTGCGGTACCCGCGTGCATAAATTACGCTTTATTTAATTTTTCGTCGAGTCGATACTCGTATAGATATATCTAATCTCGGACGGAAAATCGCTTCGTTACCGTAAAAATATGTGGAATAAAGGCGATTCCCTGGCAAATAGTTTATTTCAGTCATTTATTCAGTCAAGTTTTCAAAAGTTTCGACTAAAACAGTATTGGGAATATTCGGCCTTCCTTTTCACATTTGCTTAGCTCAATTAATTACGAGCTATTACATTTCCGGACTCGATATGAAATGCTTTTGATTATCCAGCACCGAGTACATCGCGTCAATCCGCACACCAGATAACAAATCTAGTTACACTTAGTTATCATGAGTGTATATTCACGTACATCCTGGATGACAGACACGCATAATATAACGCGCGCTCTCTCTCTCTCGATCTACCCATCGCCTTCCCATCTCTATGTTCTCATATAACGCAAAGATACAACGGAAAAAACATTTTTCAGAAACAACGGAAACAGCATAAAACGCAATTAGGCTCTATCATGCGCCTGATTAGTGTTAATTAATAAGAAACTTGAAAAACCGTCGCATCGGCATTTCAGCAGCGACGCACGGTATATTATTAGAGACGCTTGCTGCAATTCCGGCGCTGTTCGGTATATAGTGACGTCTGTATAATAGGTGAAGGCGAGGAGCATGCACCCACGATGATTCTCGCGAGTGCGTTCGGTTGTACATTTGCACGCAGTAATACCTGACTGTTTAATCCCAAACGGATTCGCTAAGCGAGTGGTGCGTACGTAAACCATGGCACGCGAGAAGCGAGGCAGCTCTAGAAGAGAATACCTCATAGTTCTCGCGTAACGCCTTAAGGTGATTTGCTGTCACGGGAGAGGAAAAAAACAGCGCGAGTAAGTTTACTTTTCTTCAATTCATCGTCGCGGCGCCACCCGGTGGCTAACTTGTATGCTTGTTGCTAAATGACGTGTGGGGGTAGTACACTGTATAGGTATATAGTACACAGTATATAAATATACGGTTGTCTATTAGACCCTGCGTTCGTGCACGAGCAAGGACCGTACACACACAACCGCTTTACTGCATGAACTCCTGAAGAAATTGATGCGCCATGGCGGCGACGTGCGCAGTTTTTCTATAAGCATTAAAAACGCTTAAAAGACGTAAAAGGCAACATCGCACACGAATATACGAAGCCGAATTCAGCTTAGCAACGCATCACATAAAAAGCCTGTGTACAAAGAGCTTCTAAGAGTGGATGTGCCGTGAGGCGCTCGCTGCAGATTCGGTCTCCTTTATTATAATAATAATAACAATAATAATAATATTATTTTTATTTATTTATTGATATAGTTACAATGCCATGCCAATGAAATGGTCCAAACTACAGCCCATGTAGTTTTTCAAAGGAATATATCGGCAGTTGGTGCGCATTGCATTGTTTATTTCGCATTGTTCGCTTAATTGTTTAAAGCAGCTTGCAGCTCGCAAATACCGTATTTCTGGAGCCGCGAATCAGCGTGTGAACGCTCGGCCGCGTATTTGTCTCAGATTCGGTATTTCGCAAATACCGTATTTCATAAATACGAGGTCTCGTGTGAACGAGGCTAATGATAGGTGGATAAAAAGCTAAAGCGCGAGTTGCGCAAGAATTAATAATGGGGCAGATATGTAACAAAAATAGGTCGAAATGTTCACATCCGGCAGAAAGTGGGAAATTTTGCATACAGGGGTATTTTGACATGCTGAGTCCGAAAATTGCCGGATTCAAGAGGTCTGACCACTAAATCGGCCGCCATCTTGAATTCCAATATGGCCGCGATAACGAAACATTGAATATTACTATCTTGGGTTCTAAATGACATGTGGCGCTTATATTTGATACACAAGAGCATTTCGACATGCAGGGTTTAATAATGAATTAATTTAAAATGTCTGACAAACCATATGGCAGCCATTTTGAATTCCAATATGGCCACCATGAAGAAAAATTGAACATTACTATCTTGGGTTCTAAATGACATGTGGCGCTTATATTTGGTACACAAGAGCATTTTGCCATGCTGAGTTCAATAATGGATTGATTTGACATGTCTGACAAACCATATGGCAGCCATTTTGAATTCCAGTATGGCCGACATGACGAAACATTGAACATTACTATCTTGGGTTCTAAATGACCTGCGGTGCTGAAATTTGGTACACAAGAGCATTTTGCCATGCTGAGTTTAATAATGGATTGATTTGACATGTTTGACAAACCATATGGCAGCCATCTTAAATTCTAGTATGGCCGACATGACAAAATGCTGAAAATCTTAGGTTCTAAATCACGTAAGGCACTGAAACTTGAAACTCAAGGAATTTTTTATATGCCGAGTTCAATTGTTTAATAGAGCAAAAAGCCTATTCCAAAATAGGCTTCCTCACCAATTGAAAGCTGTAACATGCCGCAAGACGTTTTCCATCCATTTTACTTCTCCTGTTGCTCATCTGGGAAGCATTGTCCGGAGCAAAAACACAGTTCTGTGCATGGTAGCTTAGCCACGGAACATTTGCAATTTCCAGCACACCGTTTCTTACATTTGCACTTGATCAGCTATTGGCACCCCTTTGACGCCTCTGCCATTATTGTCCAAAATGGACGCCAGCCATCATCAGCATTTTTTGCCCATCCCCAATCTGCAGGTGAAGGCAGCTCTGGGTTTGCAATTTGAGACTGTCCCCAGATGTGACCAGCCTGAAAGACTGCCCTCTTCACATGTTGACGCAGTGACTCTTTTGTCGGTGGAATGTTTTCCAATTGCCGATTTCCCTGAGCAAACAGCTGCTTCCGTGCTTTGTTCACTTTCTTCAGAGGCGAAGTTCTACTGTACAGAACAACGAAGAACCTCTCTATGTTGTTCATGTCATCATTTGTTACTTCAGCTGGTGCATGTGAGAGATGATTGAAGACCTCCTTCAAGTTAGGCATGGAATATCATATGTTCCACGCGGTCCTTTTGCCAATCCCAGATATGGCAGAAACAGTATCGCATCCGGAAACAGCGTGCAGGAACAAAAGGCACCATGAGCGTTCAGGGCCAATGTGAGTCGCAATAGTGTGAGCAGCAATGTGCCTGAAATTGTTTCCATGTCCAAATGCCAACCACATTGCACAGCTGTCCATAACGCTTGCCATCGCGATCGCCAACACAACCACATTCGTGTCCGTTGCATGAATTACTATACTTCTGTGCCCCCGCTGATATGCATGCCAAGCATGTAGCAACATGCGTGAATCAGCCTCTTCATGCGTACATGGTTCAATTTGAGAAACATCAGAATAGGGCTTTGATTTAACCTCTTCTTCATTGGTTGTTAGAAGTATTTTCCTTTCTGGAACAGCCATCGTTTGCAGAGCATCTGCAAGGAAACTGAATAGTGTATTTTTGTTAGAATCTACACGAAGCAAGCTGCTCCAGTTTCGTGGTACGGATGTCTGTTCAGTCACATGGAGTGGTATGCCAGTGCCACGACCAAGCCTGGTGCTTCCCTTGAGACTGTCCGTTCTGTAGGTGTTTCACACTAGATCAACACGCATAACAGACTCCTCGTTTAACTTTCGGGCAATGTACGGAAGGAACTGTTTCTGTGCATAGTCACCAAATGTCCTGACCACACTGTTGCACTTCGTAGGCTCCAACTGGTGGACTAAGGCAGCCCCATCGAAAATGCTAACTACTTCTTTCGGCATATCATGAGGACGTGGCGCTAAAGCTTCCAAACACGGCAAAAGTTCAGCTTTTCCGGTCGGTGGGCGCATTGTATTTATATCTTCAGCCAATGCTGGTGGCCACCCATGACACTCATGTTCAAAGAATGTATCAAGATCACCATCTCTTGCTTGGCAAGAAATGTACATTCGTGAGAACAGCGCCACATTACTTTTCATACTTGTAATCTTCGCCTGAGACTTTCCATGTGTGTTCTTGGGCTTCGATTTGAACAGTGGCAGATTGTTCTTTGAAATGGTATCATAGAAATTGACGGAAGGATCCTTGATTCGCTGCTCCACAAATCTGTCATATCGTGTTTTGCCAGTGTCCTCCACGGATCGCACTGTGGC